AGGTGATTTTCATGGGTTCATGTTGATGCATGGGATGAAGCATTTTGTTCCAAGTCATTAAACCATTCATTTCCTCTATTTTTTCCCTCTGATTATGGTTTGTGGAATTACAAAAAGTCTGTGAAAGTGCCGCGTAACTATAGCATATGATTATGCGTGGCTGAAGAACGTAAATAGAGTGAATTTCCAAAAGAATTGAATATAATGAATTACAAAAACATTGTACATCTGTGCAATGAAGTAACGCGCACACTGTTGCCATGGCTCAGTACTATGGCAGCTGATGACCGGCATTGTGATTTAAGAAAGCAGGCAACAACAAAATCATGGAATGATTGACAGGAGTTGCCGTACTTTGAAGTGACAAAAAAGGATACGTTTAAACATCTACTACAATCCAAACAACAAAACTGTGTGTACAACCTTCAATATGAATCGGTGAGTATCATAATTTCTGTTGATAAAAAGTTAAGTATGTACTGAATCATGGCTTGTTACGAAACGAAATCACAGAATCATGATGAATTTAATGACAATTCAACGACAGAATCACGTCATTAAATGAAACATTCAACATTTAAAATGTTATGAAACAAAGTAATTTCAAGGGTCTAAATTGCCTTACTGCCTTCCGTTAAAGGATGGCATATATGAAAATTAATGAAACACATTAGGTAAGGAAATATTTAGCCCCGTTCTGCAATGACTTAGTCCTGTTCCACAGTATTGTTCAGGACTGATTTAGCAATCCCTGTTCAATATGCCATGTCCAGTAGCCCTGTTCTGTAATGGAGACAACACGTACAGCTCCGTAACGGGCCAGGATCATTTGTAGGAAAAAAATGGAATACACCAGTTACGTTTGACTCAAATCATTTTGTTTTGGACTCTTCACATTACAAACAACAATTCAGTATAGTACTCACAAAATTTACACAAACATAAAAAAAGCAACAAACTGCGTGCAGTACAGAAAATACCTATATACAGCATAGAATTAACGGCAAAATGAACATTACTTAAACCCAAAAATTAATTGCCCATGCACCTGAAACATCTGCTTCAGGAATTCTGCATTCGGTTTGCATTCCTAAACAGGCATTATCCGTCTTGTATTCCATTCCTGTATTAAGATTTCCAAAACATTCATTAGAACGACTAAAAAAAAATGTATCCAGCGCATTCTAGCAATTTGAAGGCAGAGAGAATCTCTGTCAGCCTGCAAACTGTCGTGTTTCCTTCTCCTGTTTGATTTGCTACAAGAATGGCCTTTCTACCCTTCCGAAACTGAGATAGTTATCCTCCAGGAAGTACAAGTACATAACCGTACTATCGGAAATTTCTGGAACAATATCAATAATGAAACATTAAACTGCATGTAAACTCCTGTTTTCATCCTTACCTTTGTGCATGTTGTAGTATTTGTCGTATTCAACATCAGACAAAGTGATGTTGGGAATGACGGTCACTCTGTTAATCCCCAACAAATTTGTTATGTCAACATTGTTTCGTCACTTGGTATTCTTTGTATTGGAACATGATTTGTTTCCCGGTTTTATTCATCATTTCGACATGACGCAGGTTCATATTCATTTCTGAAATTGAACAAAGTTTACACATTAATTGTCCTCCATAGCAAATGTTATAATCAAATTACCAATCACAATTTCTTCAGTCTCACTCATTGTCGGCACGTATGTTTTCCTATAATAACCCATGCTGTACATGTACCCTTTTGTTTTTTTAAAAACCTCTGAGTACCTAATGTTGACAATTTTGTTTGTCAACATTTTATGTGCCAACTCCTCCTGGAAGTAATTTTTCCCCCCCAAGTCGACACTGTTGCTCCTGAATGTCCTGATTCTCCTGTATGCATGGTAACCCTCCCCGCCAGGTAGGTCACAACAGGGAGCAGTGCACGTGGGGGGATCTGGAGTGTTGAATTCAGGTGGTGTTGTGTGTTCATCTTCATATCCTTGACATTCCTGTTGCTGTTCCAAGAACGCAGCCAATTGTACTTCTCCTTGAATTAAATCATCAAAAATCAAATGGTCATTTCCAGCAGCATTAGACTCATTGTCTGACTGATTGTCACTTTCAGATATTGTAGAAAGAGGTGATCTGGATTGCAACTCCAGTTTGTGAATTTGTGCTTCCACTTTGTGGTATGGGAATGCAGGATCATAACTTGCATGTTCCAATTGGCTTGTTTGTAGGAATTCACCTTCATATTCGCCTTCATAGATGCTTTCAATGTCCAACAATTTGTCTTGGTTGCTGGTTTGTTGTTGTTTCCTCTTCTGATGGGGACACATGGAAAGAGATTTCAACAGGAAAAAAATGAAAACTGTAGAAATATAATAAATATTCACTATATGCTAAGTGTATAATTCCTTTCAGGCATACTGCTATATGAAAATGTTAATTCTTGTAATAGTGATGAATTTGTTTTTGTCAATTTTTGTACCAATTATATGTGCAACAAATGTATTCAGTTGCCTTTGGGAGAAAATTCCTGGAAAATATCCCTGAGAATCATTTCTTTATTTTTTATTTGTCAGACTAATTCATTTTGTCCCTCTTTTTATAACTTTTCAGTGCTTCTCAACACATCGCTCTGTACCATAAATTTTACTACAGTATGGACACTATTACAGAACAATCAGTAACGTAATGTTCTGTACCATACAACACTTCTGCTGTGTTTCCAACAAAAAGTTTAACTTGAACATAATGCGTAATAAATAGAAACCATTTTGTTAATTAAGTAATTAAGTGTTAAATAAATACATCGTACATGCTGTGAAACTTACTGTTACACATGAAATAATAAACATGAAATAATCCATGCTGTGGCGGTTTTTTAAACAATACATACACAATGCATGTACATATACAATAGATTACACAGTACTAACTAAGAAGTTATTTCAATATACTGTTGTCTTAACCAGCTTAAATTTCAAAGTAGAGTTGTTGATCAGACAATTACTGCTAATTAAACTGTTGACTGTTGGTATCAAAGATTTGATTGTTCTCCACGTGCTTTCAAAGGATAAAAAATAGACTTCGATAATCTTTACAAGTGCGTCTTTTATTTCCATTTCACACAGAGTAGAAATATATGAGCATGCGGCATCGAGGTTCTTGCATTGGACATTCTGGGAGAGTAAACTTAACATAGTATTGCAGACACTCGTATATATAGACCAAACCCGTTTTGAGGTCAGCGCCAAGCCTAGCAACGGATTTGGATCGGTGTTGACATACTTGGTTGCGCAGCAACCAAGGTGAAAGGTGCGTAGCACAAGAAGGCTTGTATATATGCATTAGCATATATAATATACGGGCGTATGGGTAAAATTAACGATGCGGAACAAACGTGAAGCAGACAAGAGAACCTCAGAAAGTGCTGTATATTGCGGTCCT